ACAAGGTTTTAAGAAAGCCCATCTCTGAACAAGTTTATTATTCGTGAGTTTCAGGAAAACAGTAGGCCAAGTACTGTCAGTCAATTTCATGCCTGACCTGTTTAGGTATGTTGTATCAATCAATGAAGTAGGTTAAAAAAACAACAGTAGCGTTTTAATAAATTACACCAACACTTGTTATTGCTGAATTGTGATTACAGGTTTGAACTGTTTCACTGCTGACAACACTGTAAGCTTGATATTATTTCAGATTCAGAAGAGAGGCTACTGGACCAAGTCACCCCTCACTATCCTATACACTTCATTAGTGTTCATGCAGCACTCTGCAGTTTTGCTTCTCACTTAGAAGGAACAGAAGAAAGAACGATCTTCAAGAAGGCCTCTGAATGAATGGACTTCACAGAGAGCAACAATTGCCTGCCTTCAGTAACACCCACACTGCTTGCATCATAGCCAGTGCTTATCAGCTTGTGCCAGCCCTCAAAGCGAGCACATGCCAAATCACCCACAGATACCCACCAAAACCTTCTCAGCAAAAGGGAAAACAAAGATGCATATGGAAATATAGAAGTTTTAAGAGTCAGGTAAGTTTACTCTCCTGATCCTTAAGAGCACACTGGCACTTTCAGAAGACTCAGTCAAAACTATTCTGTCATTAGACATGCACGTACCTCCTCTCCAGGGAAGCCCTCTTTGTGATAACACTATCAGATTCAAACCTGTGTGTAGGTATTGTGAGGCAACAGCTGCTCTGTTACTTGTACAGCAAATCCAAACTCCAAACCTGGAAACACAGAAGTGTTGGTAAGCTTGACAGGTCCTGCAGAGCCTTCCACCCCCAGCCCGGGATGCATTAGGCACAGATGACTTCCCCACACACTAAGCAGACAAAACCACGAGGCAGCACCGCTCCTTTGAAGGAAGCCAGGCCGTAATTCTACTCCCTCAAGGTCACCGCAGGCCAGCACCACGTGCAGCAGAGTTACACCAGGTCTGGGCCATGACAGGCTGTGGCGTGCACCCCTCACCACCACAGCAACGCACTTTTTAATAACCAGAACGACCTCTCCACAGACAAACACGCTTCTTAGCACCCGGACCGCCAGCTCTGAAGCGGACAAAGCGGGCAGCGAGTGGGGTGACCCGGTTTCCCCGGGTGTCCCGCTCGCTGTACCGGGGAAGGCTCTGGCGCTCCCGCAGCGGGGCGCACCGCCCGCTCCCGCCGGGGGCTGCGAGCCCCGCGCCCGCCGCCGCGCCGCCACCCGACCCCTTCCGAAGGAGCCGCAGCGCCGGAGCCGGGCCTCGCGGCCCCGATACCGAGCCGGCACCCAACCGCTTCCCATTGGGACCCCCCCCGCGGCCCGCTCCGTGCCTTTTTCTCCTTCCCCGGCCTCCAGCACCGTGCTCCCAGCGGAGGCACTCACCGCAGCTCGCCCCGGCCGCCCCTGGCCCTATAAAGGCGGCCGGGGGAAGGCGGCGCGGGCCCCCGCGGCCCCGGGGAAGCGGTGGGCGGGCTGCGGGGCCGGGCAGGGCTCGGGAGGCGGCGGCGGCGGCGGCCTGGGGTGCCCCTGGCGGAGGGGAGGCGGCGTGCGGCCTTCCCCGCCGCTTCTGTGTGCTTCTGCATCGTGCACAGCTCGGGGATGGGGTTTTGGGGTCGCTTGGGAACAGCAGGGAGCAGCAGGGGGTGCGTGCATCCCGCTGTGCCCAAGGGGGAGGCTGCAGCGGCCGGAGCATCGTCCCCACGCTGCTCCTTGCTGCTGCTCTCCTCCAAAAGAAACACAGCTCCCAGCCTGGTTCTTCAGGTGCTGTGTGCCTCCACGGGGTGCTCAAGCCCAAGGCTGTTCGGCTCAAATAGCACCTAATTCTCTTGTAAACTCCTTTTTCCTCCCCCCCAGAAAGTGATTTTGGGGTTCTCTCTGAGCTTACTGAGCACAATATAACTGAATTTATGAATGAAAACTAAAATATCAGTAATATATATATATATATTTTGTCCCCTCCCTATTTTTAAAGAAGCATTTAGCTAGGAATTAAGTACTTTAAAATAACATCAGAGTTATTTCTCTAGGAATCACAAAATTGCTGTAATTGCTAAGACAGCCATTCATCCACCAGTAAGAACCTGACCAGAGCATTTTTTTTTCTTCTGCCTCCTGCTTGTTTGCAGATTTTGATGCACTTTTCAATGACATTCAAGCAATGTAGGAGAAGAGAAATTAATTTGTGGCCATTCTTTATTCTATATTCCTGAATAACAGTTCTGTCAAAAAACGACTATTATCTCTTTCCTAAAATACAAATTCCCTGGTAAATTTCACATGTGCATTAGAAGACTAAGTGGTAGAGGTCCGGAGCTATGTTATACTTCAGGAAGAGACATAACAGTGCAAAGTCTTAAATCTAAAGGTATAAAGATAACCCTGACACTATTGATAGTGACTAAAATAAAAAGGATTTTCCTCTTCCTATTTAGGTGGATTGAATATTCAAATAATTGTGGAGACACAACCTAAAGGGTGTTCCTGTTCTGAAGTCTGCTAAAAACTATCTTAATTTGCACGTAAGAGACAGTGACCTGTAGCACATTATATTGGATATGGACAGACATCAGAGCAATTTGCAGTAGATCAACAAGTGACTTTTAAGATATACTCCTAGATTTTGGGGAATATGAGGTAGAATACAGTAGCTTAAGCAAACATCATGAGGCCTAATATCACTTTACTCCACTGAACCTGTACAAAAATGTATTATAAATACCATGAAGTATTATAAATACCAATTTTATTTTTTTTAACCATCAGTTTAATGAATTGTAGGCTTCAAGTATGGGTGATTTTTCCATACAGTTATATTCTTGTCAAAAGTCCTTTTAAATGGTTTGGGGCTATTCTTCAGAATATGGCAATTATTAAGGAAGAGCAGGTTTACCAAATTGTGAATGGCTATTGCTTTAGTGTAGAAATAATTGCTGAATTTGTGGTAAACATTTAATGACAGAAAAATAATTGTGCATCTCAAATGATGTGAAACACTTAGAGATCACTCTTTACTTGCAAGGAACTTTCAGCTGTGAGTTGATTTTTTTTTTTTTTAACAGGACTGCAGTGCTGTTGGAAGATCCAATTGGTGAAAATGATCCAACACCTAATGCAGTTGCTGTTTGTCAGCTGAAACATCAGATCTTGTGTGTTTCAGCATGATTGTTCAGAACCATATACTTCAGGCAGACTGTCAGGCTTGAAGGGCTGTAGTTTGGACTCTAAGATGTTAAAGTACTCGACGTGTTGCCTGGGAGAGTTTAGAGCTGCGAAATGCCACACTGCAATGAGGACATTGCCACCATGTGGCTCCTTGTGTTACCTGCACCGCTTTCTGCTCAGTCAAACGGTACTTTTTGCAAGGGTCTCCTTGTAAAACGCATTGCTTTTCATCCCGCAGGATCCCAACACTCCAAGCCTATCTCCTGGGCCCACCATCTCCCGTCAACCACAGGCAAACCATTTATTCTCTGAAAACTATTTTGCCTTTCCTAATGCTTAGGGAAACGTTCACTGTCCAGGAGGATGAACATCAGCTCTTCTGAAGCACCCTCCTGGAATAGCAGCCAAAGCTACAGAAACGAGACCATCAAAACTCGCCCAGCACCTTGCAGTAGATGTTGCCCAGGCTATTTGGAGAGGTGGGTCAACCCATACAGTGCCACATGGGGATTGCACAAGGAGGAAAAAGTAAGATGACTTCTGCATGTAAGGCCATTCTTTAGTTGTGGACAGATTTTGTCCAGAAAAAGAAGGCAGTCAGGTCCTGAATTTTTAACATATAGAAAGCACCATCCAGCTTTTGTTGGTCGTTTATTTGCTTGTTAAAAGCAATTTGGGATCTCTGGAGGATCTGGAACTGTGATGCAGCCCACACAGAGCACAGAAAAAAGTGTCATTGATACCTTTGCTCTTTTTAGGACTTCAGACTACTCTGTGGGTCCAAGTGACCAGTGGTATAAATTTGATTATCTCCGATTCACAGAAACTACCAATCCTGAGGAACAAAAAAACTTGAAGTCACTTTTTTTTCCCCTTCCCTTTGTGGCATGTGCTTTCTGCATTATACATGCGAGCAGTGTGATTCTCATCTGCCATGCATCTGGTAGGAGAGCACAGGTGTAAAAGCCATTCCAGAGGCATAAAGGATCTTCACTCTTCCCTGGGTACCTGAGAAGAAGAAAGGTACCCTAAGAAGCAAAGGAGCAAACGGGGGTTGGATGCCAAAACAGTGGAACCAAATGTGGAACCTAATACACACCACAAGTGCAGAACTGGATGAAACCAGTGGCTTGGGGTCTTACATCTAATGTTTTCAGCACCACAAACTTTAGAGAAAGGTGAGAGGCACTTTAAATCTCTTAAAACAATTTATGTTCTGAAATACAAGATCATCTGTCCTTCAGAGGGGTTGGTCTTCAGATGTCACCACAGAATGGCTTGGGTTGGAAGGGACCTCAAAGATCATAGGCAGGGATGCCATAGCAGTACTGTTCTGGATGTTATCTTGTTGATTTGTTTATATCTTTATTGATAAAATAAAAAAAAAAAAGAGGAAAAAAGACACTTTTTGAAATTTAAATAATCTGTTGGCAAAAATATTGAGAAACGTATACTTATGGGGGATCTGGCGTTGGTAGGCCATCCTCCCATTGAGGCACAATTGGTGTCGCTATCCCAGAGCCAACTTGATGACTATTCAGTGATGGAAATAATGAGAGTTGGCTCATTAACAGAGCCATAAATGAACGTGAATCTATTTTCCTCCACAAAATCTTTCAAGGCAGGGCCGCAGACAGAAGCCGCTACAAGCACCTGGTCTTGCCGACTCCTTAACACCGCGCCTTCCCTGAGCACACCGCGCCTCTGCAGCGTGTAAAAGCTTTAAAAACTAAAAACTTCCCAGCAATTCCCAACCTCTCGCTGTGCTGGGGACAAAACGCGACAAAAACTTCACAGGGCAAGGCGGAACCCTCGGCTCGGGGCTGCTGTTCCCGGCCGGCGGCGCTGCGGCGGGACCGGGAGCTCGGGGCCGGGCAGCGGCCGCCATGTGGGGCCGTGGGGCCGGGCGAGCCGCCCGCTGCTCCCTCCTCCTCCTCACCGGGCGGCCTCGCAGGTACCGGGCCGGGCACCGCGACCCCAATGCCCGCAGGGTGCCGGGTTACCTCGGGCAGGCCGCCGCAGCCCCTCGCTGTATCCATAAGGCGGGATCTGGCGGCTTTTGGGGTTGTGGGGGGTTGTGTAGGGGGGATGCCTTGCGCTCTGAGGGCTTTACAGAGCAGTGAGCAGGATTTCTGAGTGTTTTTACACACTGTGCAGCCTGAGGGCATGGAAAGGAGGGTGTTTGGGGAAGGTGTGTGGAGGGCAGCCCCGTCAGGCAGCAGGGATCCTCACCAGCGTGGCCCCAAAACCATGCCTCTGTTAGCCTGCCGCATTGCAACAGTGAGATTTGGGGTTTAACGCTGGGAATTTAGTGATTTATCAAGTGCGGAGTGACTGGAGTAATAAAGAGGTGCCCTCTGATAATACTAGTTATTTATTGTTATTTTTTTGAGAGTTATATGGGAGAGGTGGGGAAAACGTCAAAATTGCTGCAGATCAGCTGAAATATTTTGAACCATTTTTCTTTCTTCGTTAACTTGAAGGCGGTTCCTAAAATGCAGTTTTGAATTGAAAGATTTCAATATTTCATTTTATGTGGCTGAAGAGAGCCGTTCTTTGGATTTTATGGTACTTTTTTTCCTAAATAATCCAATTGCATCCATGTTTCAGCAATATCCTAAGCAGCTCTGTGCTGCCCCAGCTTCCTGTACTCACCTGCACCGTGCTGGTTTTGGCTTCTGTGCAGTGGTGAGATGTGGTCAACTGGGCAGGGGAGCTGCTCCAGAGGGAAAAATAACCAAAAAAGCTGTTTTGCATGTAGCCGGGTGATTTTACGGCAGGATCTGGTTCCTCGTATGGCTGCACAAGTGCCTGGCTGCACGATGTAGGGTTTATTAAGTTTCATGCTTGTAGGACTGTGAGGGATGGATGTGGTCAAAGGTTGGACGTGGTGCGTAGGAACATGGTCTAGTGGGTGACAGTGGTGGTAGGGGAGGGTTGGGCCAGGTGATCTTGGAGGGCTTTTCCAGCCTTAGTGATTCTGTGAAGGATCAATGTGAAAGGACATGGGTGTGAATACGCACTGATGTTGCCAAATTTTTTTTGCTTTTGTTTTTTTTATGCATGGTGGCAGTGATCTCTACTGCATTATTTTAAAAGTTTCAGTGAGTTTTCTATAGTACTAATTAATTTAAGTATTAGGTACCAGTAATGTGTTTTTGTTTTTTTTTTTTGAATAGTTGTGTGATTTGTTATTTTTTTTTTAACCTAGGCTCATGCAAATTTACGTTACTAAGGTCATAGTACCTAGCATGGAATAAACCTAGCAATAATGTTAAAATGTAGGGATTTTGAATGGTCTTAGAATTTTGTTTAAGTTCCTAGATTAATCAAGAACTGGTTTGTAGAGGGAATAAAGTTGTTTATATTCTTTTTGTTCTGAAGAAGCCATAAATAGCCAAGGGTTGTAAAAAAGAAACGGGCTATAGGCCTACTTGAGGAACAAAAAGTACATTTAATATGTTCTTTATATACTCAGTTTGCACATAATTAGGACTAGACAGTTGTAAATAATGTTTTTTTTCTAGGCTTACAAAATTCAACTGCGGAGCCTGTTCATAACTTCAGATGTGTTTATTTATTTGTTTATTTATTTACCTTTCTGTATTATCTAGCAAAATTCAGAAACTCTTCAGCACTAGCAGTGTGCTGTCTACTGAGAAGGACAAATCGACCGCTTCCACAGGCAGCACCAATGAAGTGGCATCAAAGAGTCCGGAGGGTGCAGCAGAAACACCAAAGCAGAAGTTGTTGAACATCATTGGCAATATGAAAGTAGAAGTGACCTCCAAGAAGAAATTTCAACAGCTAAAAACACAAGAGATCAAGAAGCAAGCCACAGACAAGCTGGAAGGCCTTGACAGCAAAAGTAGCACGCTTCAAGGAGCTGCAGAAGACACCCAGCGGTAAAGTATAACATACGCGCTTCTTAACCAATGTTCTTTTCTTTTTTTTTTTCAGATTGTTTTTGTTGTTATCTAGGACAAAATAAAGCATCAACTGGTGTTACCAAATACAGAAAAGAATCTTGTGAAGGAACATAGCTTATAAATGTAGCTTATGGTAAATTGTAGAATGGATTGGGTTGGAAGAGACCTTAAAGATCACCTAATTCCCACCCAACACCATGGGCAGGGACACCTTCCACTAGACCAGGTTGCCCAAAGCCCCATCCATAACTGCCATTTCTGTGTTGTCATTTTTTATTATATTAAGGCTTTAATGCCTTTGTATTTCCATATCTGTTGTGTCTCTTAACAGAACCAAACCTTTGAATCGGGAACTGGTGGAAGCTGTTTCTGCAGTCGCATCTTCCTTACCACGCAGCAAGGAACAGACAGAATCAGAACTACTCGCACAACTAAGAAGACACGAAGAAACCACAGATAAACAGAGAAAGGGGGGAACTATTAACATACGGTCTGTATACTGAATGCTGTTCTCAGTCATGCTTGAAGTTCTGATTTTGCATCGTCATCGTGAAGGTGGCTGGATTCTGTGTTGGAAAGATGGCCCTAAAAGACAGGTTGTCCTTGGAATTAATGAATAATGGGGTTATCATTGGTCTCGTTTACTCCATAAATTTTGGCAGAAATTGAACTGTTTTCCTGTCCAGGATCATTATTTCATTATTTTCTTGGATAGACTAGTGAAATAAGGGCTTCTTTCTTCTTCTTCTTTTTTTTTCTTTTCTTTTTAGTTTCAGAAATTTTCACGTAATGGAGGGACTTGTAGACGTTTCAGACGCTCTGTCTGGACCGGTGAATTTTCATGACAGCTCTGAAGAACTGAGCTGACCTAGAGCAACTCTATTTATAACCCCACCCTTCCTTTCAAAACTTTCCAGTCAACCCAAGAAACTCATCTTTTGGCTCCAGTCCGTTTCCAGTGCGGGTTTCAAACAGATGAGAAACATTTGTTTGGAAATTGAAACAGTTGTGCATATTGCTCTTCTTTTGGATGACAGCTAAACACAGACTGTTTTTTTCGGCTAGTATTCAGATAATTACCCAGAAAATAAGGCATTAAATCCAGATGAAATGCTGAACTAAACAGAAAGCTGTATCTTCAGCAAAATAAGAATGCGAAGCCTTTATTTCTGGCTCTTTGCAGCGTGAACTGCAAGAATGGTTATTATCTTAGATTGAATTTATTCTGTGGAAATGAATTTGTCCCAAACCAGGATTTAAGTTTGGACCATGTAGGTTGCTATAGGGATTTGTAAGAGATTTGTTTGTGCTTTGTGTGTTTATCAATGAACTGCAAGCAGAGTAGCCAACAAACTAATGAGGTTTGCTGCGGATGTCCATGTTTTAAGGGAGTGAAAACTGAGGAAGAATACAACAGATGGTTGCAAATAGATCGAGAAATTGGGAAGCACAATGCTCAGTGAAAAACTCGGTTAAACAAAGTGTGTGTTCTTCAGGGGTTGTCAAAGAAAAAGGGAGAAGCTTTGCAAGTTTCCTTTTTAGCCTGAATTCAGGATTTTTCCACCAACGGTTGTTGTGGAGAGCAGAGTGAAATTCTCTCCAAGCATGTGAAGTCCGTGCTATTAGGTTGAGGTACGTTTTTAGGTAATATACACAGGCATCTCCAAAGGCTGCGTGTGTGCTGTTTTCATAACCTCCTCTCAGTCTGAATATGAGAGACCTTGAGAACTTGACGGAAGTTTCTCCCTCCACAGGCTTTTGGAGCCAAACTGAATAGCTTTGAGGGTTAAAGATCTGAATGCTTTACGTAAAATCAACGCGTTTCTGCCTTCTTCTTGGTTTTGTTCAGTATTACCAAAAAATGTGACACGCTTCCTAATATAAGAATAACAAATGAGGAGTGCTTGGTATAAGGAACATATTCATTACACTGGTCATTAGCAGTGAGGTTATTCCATCTCTGTCCCTGGGGTTTTTGGAAGAGTAGAGTACACAACTGCCTTAATAATGGTATAGTCTGTGGGTGGTCAGCTTCAGTGTAATTACAGCAGCAATTCCAGAGAAGATGTTGGAGGGTCATGCTGTTACTGACCAAGCTAATACGTGCGGTGGCTAACCTCATGTGCACCTGCACCTCTTTCTTAAGATATACACGCTCTAAATTTGGTGGTTCTGCTTCCTGGCAGCGAGGTCTCTCTCTAACCACCCATTGCGCTTATCCTGAAGGACCTAACGCAGCTGCGGCTGCTGTGGAAAAATGAAAGCGTCCGAGGAAGTTACAGTCTAAGCAGAGAGGCTTTGTGCTGTTAAATTCTGAAGAAATTTAAAAGCTGAAGTCCCTGCCTCGTGCGGCTCTGTGCAGTTGGTAGAGGTGGTAAGATGTGATGATACTGCACTGTCTTTTAACGTCTTGTGGATGGATTGCTTTGGGTAGAAAAACGCAGACATTCAAATGCCGCTATGGTTACAAAAATTTCCTTTTGCACACAGCCTTTTAGTTGGTGAGGAATGTCATGATGGGCTTGCAGTGCTTTGAGTTGGCAATTCCTTTGACTCCCTGAGCCAGCTTTGTGAACTAGCTCGTTTCCACCTTGAAAAATATCTTAGTTTTTTTTTTAACATACGCTGAAAAGTCAGTTTTTTTCCTTAGTAGTTGGGTAACGCTTTGAAACTAGCAGTGGTGGATGGGTTGTCTAGAAAGATAAATAAATCTTGATGATTGTCATGACTGAAAACTTGGCTAACAGCAACATTTCCTAGCTGGAATATGAGATTAATTTGGTGCTTTTGGCTTTCTGGTCAGTATTAAAAATGTTGATTTAAAAGGTCCAGTAGCCCTCAGTCTTGCTTGGGCATGACTTCATTTTCCAAAAGTATCTCTCTCCACACAAAGCACACAAAGTGCCTTTAAAATATTAGAAAGCAATTACTTTTTTTTTTTTTTTCAAATAAAAATCAACACAAAATAATCATGTCTGAATAAAAAGAGAATATGGGCTGCTGATTTTTTTAATAAAGCTTTTGCATTCAATATACTTATAAATTAAAAAAGCCAATATATATTCCACCTCTATTTAAAAAAAAGTTAAAGATGAGATACCATTGTAAGTGTTAGAACCCTATAATGCTCAATTGCAAAAAAAAAAAAAGGGAGGCCTCTATTGCCATTTTTGAGAATATCAAATATATATTTTGTAGATCTTTTGATTTGTAATATTTTTTTTTCAGTATCGTGGCCTGACCTCCAGAGGTCACTGTTGTACACAGCTGTCTCTCTGCCTTGTTTTGTAGCCGTCCCGAGGACAGCCTGTTCACAAGGAGGGGAAAATATTAATGACACAGGAATTTATTTATTTTGGTGTGGAATGAAGTTTCACGCAGTGGAAATTACAACAGCACTATACCAAAATAAAACCAGTGGCAACGCAAGTTGAAATTTCAGCTCCTGTTTTGGGTAAAAAAATAGATAAGTAATTCGGAGCTGAAGTCTAAAATATATCGCGAGCTTCCTGGATCTTTGTTTTTAGGGTCATAATTAACAGTTGGTAAGCAGGATGGAGAGAGGACCTGTGTTTGTTTGTTATAAAGGCTCAGCCTCGTCCCATCTCTGGAAAGCAGAGAGATCCGGGAACTTAGGTTCTTAGCCTCATCGTGGGGCTTGAGGTTTTGTCATGCAACATCCAACCACTGTAGATACTCTGGGGCTGGAATATGAATTTATAACCTACTGTTTTTCATTATAGAAGGCAATGAAAATGTCTTTGTGGTTTTATTTTTAGGGAACGGAGGGGCGCTATTAATTATGGAGTGATGAATATTGCCACCAATAATGCGCCTGTACCAGGGCTGGGGTGACATTGGGACTTTCTGATGAGCAATCTGATGCCATCGACTGTATGTGCTAATAGATGGGTGGCATAGCGTGTCCAGAAGGAAGGATGACCCCCCGTGCAAAACCCCAACTAAATCGAGTTCTGTCATGAGGAGAGCTTCTTGGAAGAAGCCTGATCCCCCCCATAGCACAGGAACAGGACAGCCGAGTCGAGCTGTTGGGCTGGGCCCCGTGGGGCTGACCTTAGGGTTTACGTTTGCCTGACCCTTGGAAGCGTGTCGGGTCGCTGGCCCTACACCAGCTCGCTGCTGCCAGCAGGCACCACAGAGGGCAATTTGTAGTGTGAGAGGCGCAAGTCGTCAGAGGTGGTTTTTCCTTTAAGATTAAAATGAAGTGATTTAAAGCTTGTTTTTGGATGCCTGTCTTTCAGAGCAGGTACTTGAAGAGCTGTGCTACTCTTGTTCTGCCATTCAAAACCACATCTAACGCTGAAGACAAAGCCTTATTGCGTTGCTGTGGCAATTAGCTTTTACAATTTTGGAGAAGTATTTCTTGCTAATAAAATCCCTTTTAACTTAAGATATCAAAAGCATAGTTTGAATTAATAAAGCTTTTCATAAAATGGATACACAGTATTTTTTACTCAGCCTGTTTTTGGTTTTTGGGACCATCTTGATGTCTTCAAACCTGAGCACTGCAGTTTTGGATGTCTGCACGTTATCGGAAGCAGTTAGGAACGGAGGAATAACCACCTCGGTCTTTACCAACCCACAGACACAACATTTAAGGGGGCAGGCGGGCTGTGTGTTTCATCCCTTACATTCAGAACAAGTGCTGCAAAGTGCACTGGAAAAGATAGGAGCGTTTGTTCTTCCTGCGTGATTTTGGCTACAGAATTGTGAAGGAAGATGTGGCCTGGTAGTGCTGTAACATGATTATGCAATGCAACAGATTGCAGTGGATCAGGAAAGGTGACCTACTTATTAGGGTGGCATGATTGACCCGTGTCAGCTGATGTGTGAAGGCAAGCTTCTTTTCAGGCTGCAGCCTGGGCAGAGTTGACTCCTCTCCAAAAAAATTGGTTATTTTTACTTCCTTATTTCAGGATATTCCTTGTATCCAGAGAAGTTTCTCGTGTACTTAAGCAAAACCTAATACACTCTGTGAATATGGGTGTGCAGATAAATGATAATTTTCTTCTAACTGGAAATGAATAAGTTTCAAAGAAAGCCCTCGTTTTAGGCTAAAATAGCACTTTTCATTTAGAATATAACAACTGAGATAGTTTTAAAGAGTAAGACTTAAGTATATGATGAGTTAAAAATAGATGTATTTTTTGAGGAATGTATAATTATGAAACCTATGGAAAGTAGGTTTTCTGATTGATATATGTGACAAGCTTCATTCCTGTGTCAGTTTGTTGACTTTTTACCTTTACATTTTTAATTTCAGCAATGTTATTTCAGAAATGTCAATTAAAAGGCAGTCACCAGCTCAGAGAGGTGTGATGATATCCAATCGCATTTCCTTGGCGATGGAGGAGGATGGGCAAAGACTCAAGCCTGAGAGACTCTCATCTCGCTCTTTTGACTCAAGAAGGTATTTTTTGTTGTGTTATCTTCCATTGCCCAGAGGAGTGTGCAAAAAATTACCAATGAGGAATATTTTAAATTTAGTCCCATGTATTCACGGTACCACGATGCTTCAAGTTTTAAAGGAAATTTAAAATTATTTTTCAAGAAGTGCTGTTAACATTGAAATCAAGTTCTGTGAGAACACATTGGTTAATGTTAACAAGGTAATCAACTTATTAATGCCTTTCTGATACTAGACTTTAATTTCTTTAAAAAATGAGTGGTGCTGAAAGGTAATTGCTTTTCTGTTTTAACCAGTTTAAATAATTCTCACGTACAATATAATTTTATATCGCTTTGCTAACTTTTTGTGAAACGGATGCTTTGAAGTCTTACTTTCATCTAATGGAAAACTGTGAAAAATGTTCTGTTCAGAAAAAAATGTGTGCTCTGTTGGGGTTTTAAAGAGATTTTGAGTGTTTTTATTTATTTATTTATTTACCTTGATAGCCCATGATATTATAACTGTCTGTAAAATGAACTTCATAATTTACATGGTGATTTCAGGCTACTTCATAAAGTTCTCCTGCCACTGTTTTTACCTGGCACGTCAATTTCTTCATTCATTAAGGAGTGCTTTTTACTCCTATAAGCTGTGCTTTCATGCCTGCGTTCTTTTAATTTTCCCGTGGCAGCTCATGATCACGTTCCTTCTCAGTGTCTTCTTTCTCTTGCGGTTCTGTTTTTAGTGAGATTAACTTTAATCATTAACGTGCAAATTGACACCTTTTTCTTGGGGTTAGAGGCTGGAAGCTGAGGGAATAATTTGTGTTTAGGGTGGATAATCCTGAAGAAAGAATTTGCATAACTAAGAAAAAAATAAGCATAAAGTTGTAGGTGCGTAGATGTACAGCAATCTGCCCTTTTTGGCTGAGACATCTAGTTCAGTATTTCATAAACAGAGAATTACGACTTCCCACAAGGAACTAGTTGGAGCTTATGTACTGAGCCATGCAGAACGTGCAAAAACCTCAAAGTGTGTGTGGCCAGTCGTTAGAATCACTTCGCCTGCTTGCTGAGATGTTTGTGCCTAACTTCCTTGTTCTTGAGCTACCAAACCGTTAAGGTATGTCATAAGGTGTGCAGTATGTCCTGGGACTTCTTGTTATAACAACAGGAACATCCTTCTGTGATGTAAAGTGCAAGAGGTGCTGCTTTTGTTGGAAGCTGAAAGAAAGAAGTGGAACGAGGGTATAGACCAAGCCCTTGATAGCTTAGATATTTCTGCTCTGGGATTTTCATTCATTCCATTCATTCTGCTATGAGCTGCTTAAGGAGCAAGGGGACAGCCCTCGTTATCAGTTGCTGAATAATAGCTCCATAGATAGATATTTTTAATCCAGGGATAATTATCAGACAGGGTTGGTAGTCAGGTGAAAGTCATTTTGTTATTAAGCTGTGATTCTTGACTGACTGAGAAATAGTTGATTTAAGGTGTTGGATTAAAAGATTTTCCAAGTTTGAAAGAATAGAAATAATACGATCTGTAAGTATATACTGAAAGCTTGAACTATTACGTGTTCATGCAGTGCATATTATATCTTTGATAAGATTTTCATTTATTAATATACTGCATAGTAAAGCAAATTTCACTTGCATTTGAGAACATTTATTATATTTATGGTATCTGAGGAGCCATCTCACCTTCTTTGTGTGATGAAATTCTCTGTGGTATATAACTTCGGAACAATACTTTTAAAAAAAAATCTTAAAAAGATTTTTTAACATCTCTGTAATGAACAAGCTGGTGGCAGTGTCACTCCCAAGTTTCCTTCTGCATCTCTGAAATTCTGGCAGGTGTACTTATCTATTGATAATATGCAAAGAATGGGTTAGGAAGAAGATGTTTAAATTGAATTAGTGTGTTTCAATGAACGGGATGATGTTGCTTTATAGTAATTTGAACTAGTCATTTTAAAATAAATGTTCTTCCAAGCCATGCTTGTATCTTCAGCCAATGTTTTTGGGAGTTACACACAGATAGGAAAATATAATCCTAAATCAACATTCTTTCAAGGCTGTGTAATTAGATTGCTCTATGCTGGAATAGATCCAGGGTAGTTACATCAGTAAAATGTAATATGACAAGAGCAGGTTTGCAAGAAGTAGTTGTGGCCATCAGAAATCTGCAGTAAAACCAGAGAGGTGAAATTTTTATGGTCAAGAAAGGCAGGTGTTGCCAAGGTAGCAATAAATATGTGTTAACATAAAGTAGGAACTATTACAATCTCAGTGGAGGTCTGCACTAATAAAGAAGATGGCGTGATTAAAAGGATCATTTGTTCTGAAGTTCAGTGTTTTACAGTATAGGCATTGTTTTCTCTTTGTTTCCATTTGTAGGAGAATTCATTTTGATTAATTGTTGAACCCTTGGAATTTTTGAGCTTATTTTTTAGTATAGGCTAATGCTGGAGATAAATATGTTTAAAAATAGATGGTCAGAATAAAATATTTTTATACTTGGAAAGGAGAGCACCAGGGTAATGCTATTTAGAATATATCATACAGCCGGGTTTTGTGTGTTTGCCATGTGGCACGAGAGGTGGCTGTGTAATCTTCCAAAAAGGCTATTTATGTCAGAAAGCAGGAATTGTATCATTACGCTGTTGCCTTTTCTCTTCCTGAATTGTGCAATATTATTTACAGAAAAAAAAAACACAAATCACCAAATTCCCTTTTTAGTTGCAACTTTGTGAAATTGTTTAAGGACTGTAGTTTGATACTGTTTAACTTCATTCAGGTTTGTAAATATTTAAGTGAAAAATGTCTGCGAATATAATTGATTTATGCTCATTCTTTCACATAGAAATGTTCTGGGAAGCTCTGTTACAGAGTAATAATCCAATCATAAACACTCTGTGGTTAAAAGCCTGAGGATTTAAAGAGAGTCACTATCTCTCTCTTTTTCTTTTTTTTTTTTTTTCTCCAGAGATCTGTTAGATCATAAGAATATTTTGTGCTTTTAAATTTTGTATCTGGCAGTGTTGTGAAGTGTTGCGAAATACTAAATATCGTTTTTCTCTTGTGTTTATAGAAGTCTTAGAGAAGGAAAGAGGCTTAATATATTCACTAAGGCTCCTCCAGAAATGGAAAGCGCGCTGAAAACAGGTTAGTGGAAATTCAATAATGAAAAAGCCAATGAAGCCAAGTTCTGAATTTTTAGAATATCAAGGGATTCACTGTTGTGAAAGAGACTCATGACCTGTTAACTTCCTGCTTTCAGACCTGTAAAAAATATATTTTAATGGAACTCTGCTTTTTAATGAACAAAACTTCCACACAGGGTCACACGTTAGTGTTTTCTGTATTAATTAGAACATTCTCTTACTGAACTTTGAAGGGTAAAACCAACTCTTTGTCACTATGAATGCTTTGGAGAGCCTTAAACCAGTCTGGAGAACAGGTATGTGGGCTCCATTGGTGCGTTTGTTCATTTTGCAAACTTGCTGAATTCATTTAATGGCAAAGAAACACAAGGCTGTGGTGTCAGGGAAATGAGCTAGCTTTACAGGTGGCTGTGCCAAAGCAGTGTGGAAACAAACTCTACTGTAAGCCTGGTTGCTTTGTGGGCTTCTTTCATCTGGTGTTATGTGGGTTGCTTAAAAGATCCTGTAGCGCCCAACAAACAACACCTTGCTTTACCTACTGTGGCTAGTGTTTCACACATGAATACTTAAAATCCACACCAAATCTCCTGCGAGATTAAACTAAAAGAAGACTGGTGAAATGGATATGACCCACCTCCATATATCTCTGCAGGAAGAGTCTCAGTTGCCACATCAGGGGGATGGATTTCACACGTGAAGTATGACTCAGCTTTAACACAGACTGGGTTTTGGCTAAGGGTGTGTGATTATGGGCAAGAAATTTAAAGTCTCTCCCTCTCTTTTGCCTTCTGAACAATGAAACTGCATTCCTACACTAATCTCTGGTACGCTAATTGCTCTAAAATATCCTGAGATGCTTTGGAAAAATGCATTATTGCAGTGTAATGACTTAGAACTGTATAGAAAGCTAACACGTGCAAAAGAAATAGCATTCTTCCTCTCTGGTAGCTTAGAAAATGGAACTCTTTTTTTTTTTTTTTTTTTTTTTTCTGTTTCAAGAGTAAGATTATTAGTTTTTGTCAGCTTCTAGCTTAGTAGTTTTCTCTCTTTCTCCCTCCCCCCCTTTTTTTTTTTTTTTTGGATTTGAAACTACAGGGAGAAATTAATTGGTTTATTTGATTTCTCTAGGAAAATGTCACATGGTGCTATTTGCCTATTTTCAAGCAGCTGTGAGCTTTCTGAGTGTAGCCACCTCTGTGGTGGACTATGAAAGTTGCTTATTAGAATGGAATTCAGTTTGCTGTTTTTTTAAGGCAGTCAACTTCCTTAAAAATCTGTCTCTATTTCAGATAAAACCACAGTGAATGCTGCAGGATTTGGGTTTTTGTTGTTGTAGTTTTTTGTTTGTTTTATTCTAGTTATCCTGACCAAAGTGGTACTCAAGTAATTGATATTTGAGTTGAAACAAATTTACTGAGGTCAAACGATGAGAGCTTAATCTCTCTTTTTTGCATGGCACAATGTAGACACGCTGGCACGTGGTAGTCACACCAAATAAAAAGTGAAGATACAAAATTTTTGCATGGTCCAGTTCTGTTACAAACAGTGTAAGAGAGCAAGTGGACTTTATTGGCTTTATAAGTAGATAGAAAGAAATAAGGTTCTTTCAGATTTTTTATGTAGCAGTTCCCTTTTTTATTCCAGGTAGCCTTGAGGAAATCTACCATATATTCTAAGCCAGAAAGCTTATTAAATGGCTTACTGACTAAGCCTGACAACCTCCCTCCCCCAAAAAAGAAGCCTTAATCTCAGGAAATACCAGCATGATACATGATACCTTGATTCATCTGCTTTCACTTTTCTTGGCTCGTGTTAGCTGAGATCATGAGTTAAAATATTATTTATAAATGACAGAGAAGCAAGCTCTGTGTTACATAATGAATATTTATTTTGAAAACGTGAATGTTAATGAAGTAAATTGGCATCCTGAAAAAATAGTTCATAACTGTTAGTGTAAAATCTCAGTATTATTTTCAGTTGCACAGAGGTGAAAATACCATTTATTTATGACCTTTACTGCAAGCTTGAGAACATGTGTTTCATCTCTCCTCTATTAGAAGATTTATTAGCAGCACGTTGTTAAAAGGTATTATTTAAGATGTGGACAATAATTTAATTCTGGTATCATTTTCTCATGTTGTCTTTTATCTGTTTATTCCTGCCTCCAGCCCTCAAATCAAAGTAGGCAGCTGGGGAATATAGTTCTGCATTTTTCCCTGTTAAGTAAGAAATAATTTGAAAAAGTATCTTCTGATTTGATGCAAAAAATGAAAACACTTTCCAGCATACAAAAATACTGTTTGCACTTTGAATGTTTTCTTAAAAGAAGGGGGAAGATTTTTATTTTTTTTAAATTTGAGTTGTAAGCCACGGAGCCAAAAATGAAATTATGTCTTAGTTTCAAATACTTAAGAGTAGTAAAATCATAACTGATTGGCCACAATCCACTTCAAATGGACTGTAACACTTGAATTCACACCAAAATCTCTGTCCTGGGGAGATTAGGGTGAATTGGTAACGGGAAGACAAGAAAACAGAGGGGAGCAGGACTTAGGCCAGCTCATGAAACAGCACCCCAAGGCACTCCCAGCTGTTCCTCCCTGTCCTGTGGTAACAGCTTGTTCCCTTTGTGTTCCCTTCGTTTCAGGGATGCGGTTCAGTCTGGGCTCATAACCAGTTCTCCGAGGGTGGAGGGGCAGGAACTCCCTGAGAGTGACTGCTGCCATGTGAATGCACTTGGATTTTAAAAATACACTCAGATTTATTTAGCAGGTTAGATACATCCCTAAAGGTGCTGTTGGACTGACAGAAAAATAGGACATCAGGATTTCTCAGGCCCAGGAAGCAGAAATCAGGCCTCCTAAGATGGTTGGGGAAGGGGTTGCCATCATTTATAGATTAAGAGTTGTCACCCTGAAGGAGAGTATGGTTGAGAAGTACCTGAGCACTGCTGTAGTAGGCAAGGTTGCTGTAGCAGAATGTACCAGTCAAGTTCAGAATTTGTTCTATATACAAGCTGGAAGACAGAAAGGGAAGAAAAAAAAAGTGAAAAAATCTTACTCTGGGTGAGGAGCCTAAAAATATACTGTCCTTTACTGGTTCAGAATTGTTTTAGATGGTTCCTAGTTCAATGAAATTTAATTTCAACAGACAATTCTCGCTCAAAAAAAGTGATGCTGGCCTCTAAGGTAGAAAAATTTGCATAACTAAGAGCACTGGTCTCTGGAAAGGTTAAGGCTAAAGGATATACATTGTGCTAGCCAACGAGAAATTTTTTGGCATGCTGATAGATCTTTAAAAAATTTTTGTGTTTTAGTATCTTCACCAACGATTTGGGATCTGGAATTTGCGAAGGAGATTGCAGCAGTGACTGACCAGCCTCCCCGAAACGGTTTTGAGGAGATGATCCAGTGGACAAAAGAGGGAATCCTGTGGGAGTTTCCAATTGACAATGAAGCAGGTATGGGCAGCGTTAACTTTTAATATTTGTCTGTATTTATCACTTTGGGGAATTTGTGTGTGTTCTGAGACTTTGACTGTTTTAACACGGTGTTTAGGATGATGAATCATGCATGTGATAGTAAACAAATGTAGCTTTCGAACGGTTCCAAGTCAGAGATTCTTCAGCTGAACTCATTCTGGCACTCCTCAGGTGAAGTCCTGCAGGTGGTTTGGCTGATCTGAGGGCTGCCTGCTGCCAGCACCGGGAGTTCTCCCTCCCTCCCTCCCTGTCCTGGTGCTTTCAACACCAGAGGGCTATTCAAGTCTGTTACGTAATACCTTTTACTATGAAAAAGAAGCTTCTAGCAGAGGAAGGAGACTCTCAAGACTGCCGTGGGTTTTATAATGCTTACTCTGTTCTTCAGTGTGGTTCTCGGACGCAGCGACGAGCCAAAGCCTAGTCAGCTGTTTGCCAGTTCCGTATCAGTACTGGCCGAGCGCTGAACAGTCATCTGCTCTCTGTTTTATCAGTTTCATAGGAAAAAAACAGTCTAAATATTCACTCATTCTGGGCATCTACCTTAACTAGATATCTTTGTGTGGTGTATTTGCTCCTATTTCCATTTATTAAAAAAAAAAAATCCTATTTCCATTTATTAAAAAAACCCCAACCACCACCACTAAATAAACAAACAAAAAAAGCCACCTCCCTGAAGTTAAGCCAGCAGAGAAAAGAGAGCACGTTAAGGAAGGACTACAGAAAGCAAGTGTACGCTTCAGGAATGGGGGTTTCATAATTTCAGGGAGAGATTGAGTGGTTTCTTTCTTTATTTTTTTAAAAAAGACATCAAACAGAACTACTTGAGAGTGATTCAGTCACTGAAAGCAAAACAGGTTAGTATCTGAAGCTGGGAGTCTTTGAAAAGCTGTCCTGTGCTGAATTGCAAATTGCATAATGTGCTTCATTGTCTCTTCATATTTATGCTCATCCTATTTTGGCAGTTTCTTCACAGAATTGAATCGCTGCTCCCAGAATCGATCTGTCCCGTCATGTAGAAGTCCAAGTATATTCTAGTCGTGTTTTTGCAAGCTGAAAACCGCTGCAGCCGATGGTTTTTGTGTTGTTGTAATGTGGCTGGAACCCTGCTGTCTGGGGCCCTCAGCGGACCGGGCGGCTTTGGCGGCCACTGGTTTTTCTGTTGGAGCAGCGTGGCCGGAACCGTGCTGTCTGGGCTGGGATGGCACACGGACAAAGAGCCTTCACAGATAGTTAGACAGGAATCTTTATTGAGTTGTCCACAAAGAGCGGTCATGTGGAAAATGCCGGCGGAGCGTTCCGAAATCTATCACCTCTCAGGTTGAAATATCAAGTCAGTGAATTGGGTTCGATCAAGCCGCCAGCTTTGTCCTGGCGCAGGCTGGTACTCAGACCAGCTACGTCCAAGTACAGTTGAAAACTTGAGAACCTCCTTCCAATTATTTCCACACACCGGAAAGAGTCAGTGGCTCTGCAGAAGAAAGATGCCCCTTCCCACCGTTAGCTCTGCAGTTTGATTGCAGTGAGCTCCCTCGATAGGAGGACGTTACCTCAGCTTGTTCTCTATCAAGAAATGTGTGATTATTTTTTTTCTTTTATGCAGAAGCAAGGGGCTCTAAAAACATCTCTGTAATTAAATTTTCTGTTGAGAAAGCTTGTGTGTTCAACTTCCAGCATTATGAAAGCCTTTAAAGTTTTAAATGAAATATGAAAAATAAGGAAGACAGCTTATAACTGCTTTTCTTGGCTTCAGAGCATCTCCAGTGTTCTCGTCTGAGCGCTTTACCAAGACACTGTGCTGAGCTTTGAGGCATCAGGGCAGGGTCATGATGTTTAAAACTTGTCCGGCCCTAATAGGAACATCTGAAGACGTGGCTAGACTTACTGGCTTGCTGCAGCAGCCAGTAAGTCTTCCCCCTTGCCCTGTTGTCAGCTCCTGCCTGCGTTTCTTTCCCTTTTCTGATACAGTTGAAGTCACTGTTAGGCAGCAAACTATCCTTTTTTTCTTTTTTTTTTTCTTTTCTCCTGCCTCTGATTAATTTTTACCAGATTAGCAAACCACTAGCATGGCTTGCGTAACATCATTCTCGCTCCTCCTTCTGTCTGGTTGCCTCTTCTGCTTCTAGCAGGGTTAGCTCCACTCCGTCATTTGCCGTGGCAAGAAGTTGGGGAAGAAGTTGATTTCTGACCTTTTAAAATGATGCCTGTGTATTCATGCCTCGATGACTCAAATCCTGAGGAGTGCAGTGGTTAGAAGGGCCAGTACGTGTTATTGGTGCAGCTTTGCTTTAGCAACCCATCCGGAGGAACAAATGCTTCTGGTATGTCAGAGATAGTTATGGCATAAGCAATAGGTATAGTGGAAGTCTTAGAAAATTACTGCCTTGGTTGCCTCTGATGGCTTTTGTAGGCAAAAAATTGCCAGGTCCTGCTCCGTCTGTTTTGCTGAGATGCTTTGCCCAGCATTGGGGCAGTTTACCAAGAGAGGTGGCAAATGTTACACAGTCGTTTTAGGGGAAGGGATTGTTTTGCTTATTTTTGGTCTGTTCTAGGGGCCTACTGTCAGGGCATGATTTATCTTGCTCAGAAAATATTTGGTCCTCTATTTACTGAGAATTTGTCATCAAGACACCCTATAAGAGTAGACACCCTATAAAACACCCTGTTTGCATTTGAGATGTTGCCTTTAAGGGAAGGCTGGACATTCCTTTGGAAGGGTTAATGTGTTAGCTAAAGAAATTTTTCTAGACTTTCTCTTTTGTAGTACACATGGAATTGGAAATAGGACGTTGAGAGTGACTTCTTGCTTTGAAATCGATAAAGAAAATCCTCTGCTTTAGGCTCCCACCATGCACGTCCTTTCAAATGAGGTTTCTGAGGACAGCTGAAGAGAGGGTGAGGGCAGTTGGGCAGTTGTGGTCTCTTTTTGTGATGCATACTTTACTTTTCTGAGGACTGAAATATGTGGTCCAAGTGAAGTATTTGGACTTAGCACTTCATCCCCAAACCATGTATCATGTCTTTGACAAATGAGAGATCACAACAGATGATGTAATGTTCCTCCTGACCTGAATTTTTGTGTGAGACTATAAATGATTTAATTTCCTTTAGATTAGAGATGAAAATTGGAGAAACTATTAACTAGACATACTCTCTTCCTCTATGTCCAAATGAAGAGCATCAGAAGAGCCCACACTTACTGGCGGCATTATTCAGATTCTTTCAGCAGTGGGTTCGTTGGTTTATTTCTCTTGGATTTTTGTGACCAACAGAAGCATGAAATCTGGAAAGGATGGTAGCTTGTGAACGCAACCATCGGCATCTAGGTACGGGGAGATTCCACCTCCCTGGGCTGGGGGAAGGTCAGCGTGGGTGGCATGGTAAAAAGATCATCTCTGTGCTTCTCTAAGTAGACGTAGCTTTTCAAGCATCATAGAAATACAAGTTCTGAAGCTGCTGTGATCTTTTTTATTTCTTTTAACATATCAGAAACAGGAGAGAGCTTGAGGAAGAAAGAAATACACTGTCTCTTTCAAAGACGAAGAGGATGAGTGGCGTGTAGCTGGCACTGGTAGACACTGCACATATTTCTGGGAAAGATGTGCAGGGAAAAATAGATGCGTTTCCCAGCTCCTTCAGGCAGTGCACTACCTAATGGAGGAAAGACAGAATGCAAACTTAATGAATGCGATAACACAGGTTGAGGGTCTTCTCCATCCCAGTATTATTCACCTAAAATTGAAGAAACTTTAACATATAAGGAAGCCTAGGACTGAGCTGGCTTCATTTTCTCATTTTTAATTCTGATGATTTAATGTTGGCAGATAACATATCATACCTTAGCTACTATAGGGAAAAAATGTACATCTGTGGCATAGACTTCCCATCTTTGTTGTGTGGAAGATTTCATGTGCAATAGTTCTCTCTGATAAATTTTTACCCAAAGTTGCAAGTGTAATTTACAAATACGTAGCAGATTAGGATCAAGTAAAGATTTTCATACATCTCTAACTGAAGGAAAATGTTTCAATTGCAAATCCCATTTTTCTGTGTATTTTTCTTTTTCTTTCTTTCTTTTTTTTAATCCCAGGAACTGCAAAAGCAACTTTTTTTTTTTTTCTATATGAAGGAATTTGTGCTTTGAGTCTTCTTGTGTATGCTAGCATCATCATATGAACATCTACAGCTGAAATCCACAGGATGGAGGACAAAAAACTGCCATAGGATCTGAGCTATATTTGATTAGAGATCTACAATAATCCCCTGTTCTATGTTTCTATGCAACCGAACGCTTTTGAATGCAACATTTTTTGCATTGGTCACTACTTACAAGTAGCAGCTGGTGTGATAGACAACATTTTTGCATCAGAATATGCTCACAGATTTGAAAAGCATTAGGAAAGCAGTTTCCCCTACCCATTTGGTAGCACTGGAGTGCTAAAACTGTGACTTGCAATGAACATGCAAGTTTTTTGTAACAGTTCCGTATCAGATACTTCAGGAAGTTGCCTCCTTCGTTCAAGATGAGTTTGCATTCTTCAACCCTCTGTAGAATTAGACGATCAATTCTTTTAAAAAATAATTTATTAAAAGTGTTGAGAGTCTAAAAGGTGATACACCTTATGAATAAAGGTTTCATGTATTGAGCAAACTTTTTTTTTTCCTCAAGAAGATTGATTTTTGGCATCAGCCTTCAGCAGTGTTACTATTAGATATCCTTGTAAATGGGAGCACAAAGTGGAGATAATACGGTAGATGGATAGGATATATGCTGACGTTTTCTGTGTGGAAAGAGAAATTAACATCTTAGAATTCTGAAGTTTCTTACACTTCGTGGTTTGTTTAATGCAAAAGGATTAAAAGGCACAGAACCATTAATTTTACTAATTAAAGGTTTATTTACAGGCTGTATTTTTTTTATTTTGTTAAATTCACTGTTGTATTATGATAATGACTTTGTCATTTTGTGTTCCTTTTGGTAGGGATGGATGATGATGCTGAATTTCATGAACATATCTTTCTGGAGAAACACCTCAAAGACTTTCCCAAGGAAGGACCTATTCGCCACTTCATGGAACTTGTCATCTGCGGGCTTTCAAAAAACCCATACCTCAGTGTTAAACAGAAGATCGAACACATTGAGTGGTTTCGGAATTATTTTGACGAAAAGGAGGAATTTCTTCAAGAGATGTGAGACTTGACATGAAGAAAATGAAATGAACGAAATACTGTCTGTGCAAAGTAGTCATGTCACCGGAAAGTTGCATTTTAAATAAAAAAGATCATACTTTCATGGGTGTCCATGCTTATGTAGATCTTTTTTAGGAACAAAAGAAGGAACTGAAAAGTATAGATCTAATAGAATGTGTGTTTAAAATATAGCTTATCAGAATCATCTTTTAAACTTGAAACTAATCTTCTGACCTTAGAATATATTAAGACTAATTCCAGTTCTTACTCACTTCCCATTTGATGTGTATCTTCATAGGTTTGTTCATCTTTTACATTCTTGAAAACTTGAAATGCTTTCATAGCAAAAAAATCCTGACACAGCTTTAATTTTTAAAAGCTGTTACTGAGACAGTAACGTTTCATTTTGGTAGCTCATTATACACTGGTGTTTGGATGGTATTTGGAATACCATCTTCTTTCATTAATCATCTTTATTTCATTTAAAAAATATTGTTCATTGAATTCTTGCTTGTTTTCTTCCATTTACAACCATTACTTTGGTAGTTATTTGCCCTATCAATATGCTCTTGTCTTTGTTTTTCCCCTGTATTTCTTTGTAATCAGTGCTGGAAGGAGGAAGGTTTGGAACAAAGGTAAAATACTGGCTTCACATGCAAACTATTTTAAATCAGAATTGCACCAAAGGAAAAGAAGTAAAAGCTGGCCTTTTTCTATGACTTAGAGTATTGTTGCTGTGTTATGCTAAGCTGTAGGATGTGAGTTTGCTTGTCTGGGAAAGGATAAGACTGGGGTCGTGGAAGGGAGAAGCAGCTCTTTGATTTTTTTTTTTTTTTTAACTGTAAGAGCAGCAAGGTTCAAATTTCTGTGGAAATCTTCAGAGGCTTCCTGGCTTTGGAATGGAGAAAGCAAGAATTATTTCAAAGTATCTCCATTCAGTCCTAGAATAGTTTTAATTTTCAGTTCAATGCCAAGTTACATTTTACTTAATAAATACCATTCTTCCTACATGCTAATGATGCTGGGAGCTGCCTGAAGAGACCCAGAAAGCCTGCATGCTGCTCTGCTTCAAGTCTTTTTCTAAAACCAAGGCACTGAATTCACCGCAGGCTTTTAGAAATAGCCCATCTGTGTATTTTCTTTGCATCAGTCCAGAGTTTTGGTACGAAAGACAGGGCAGCCTCACAAGTTGTGCCCTCACTGGAAGAGGTTTGGGAGCTTTAGCTGTGTATGAAAGCCCTGAATTTTGCAGCACTGGGAGCAAGGTGAATGTTTTTGTTTAAACTGATTCGTTAGAAGGTCACTACTTCGACAAGCTCTTAACAAGAGCTCTTGGTGCTTAGGATCTTTGGAAAGCTGTAGTAATGCCTACTTAGGTGCTTAAATATAGATTTGGGAGTTAATACTAGGCAACAGGATTTGAATAATCAGACCTAGCTGCATGGATGTACGTATGCTTATTGGGGCTGCTCAAAGCATGTTAGAGCCCAAGTGGCAGCAGTTTTATGTCCTTTTTCTTTTTTATTTTTTGAGGGGGGGAAGGAGGGAAGGGTGTGCCCTTCTTGATAGTCCCAAAGGGGAAGGTTTGTAGGAATTTAAAGCACTGCTTACAGATTTGTCACTTAGAAGCCAGCATAAAAAAAACATTTTTCTCTCACAGCCCAAAGGATAAAAGCTGACTGCTGGCGTGTTCAGAACAGAACTGGTGCTGGAGCTGTGGGTTCCCTCACTATAGTCTTTTGGGGATTTCTTACGATGGCTGCTTTTCCCTCCTTTGACTGTCTGGGTAGTGTTACGTGCAACTGAATGGATTCAGCGTTAGGATCTGTCCAACACAGAACAGCATTTGTTACGTGCTGCAGTCAGACTTCCTTCTTTATGTGTGAAGTTGAGGTGATGTTAATGCGCTGCTAATGCCATACCTCAGCATGCCTCATACCTCGTACCTTACAGAGCTGCAGCTGCAATGGGTACGTAGTAGGAGAGCCGCTGGTTGAGTAGGGTTGGCTGAGTCATGACAAAGTTGTGCCAGAGGTTCAATGGTGTAGTGGGGTTTTCTAGTGCAGTTTCAGAGGGTTTCTGCCCACCTCAGAGGAAATGCAGACGCTGGCCATTATGGTTTGGTGTCGATAGAGTTGTGACCAGGCACAAGCTGATGATCCCAGGTGCTGGCTGAGACGCGGTGCCTGGCTGAGCAGAGTGGATCATGAAAACCGTGTGTGTTGAAAACATGACAGCTTGTTCCCCTCTGCGCCCGTTCCCAGCCCCAAACCAAACCCACACAGACACTGGGTCTGGTGAGCTTGCCTTTGGCCAGAAGACGAGGTGTGGTGGCAGGGTGGTGTAATTATTCTGGGTTGTGCGGTCGTTCCCTTCTCTATTTCAGTGTGGATACCAGAAGAAAACAAATCAGAAACCAAACCATGGGCTGAAGGTGTAATGAAGCGGTTCAAGGCCTGGGATGTATTACTGCCCTATTTCTGCCGTTCAGCTTCTTTATCTCCGCTTTCCAAGTGCTGATCTTGCCCTGCCCCCTCAGTGGCCTAATTGATTATTGTAATGAGCTTAAATTCAAAGCACATGGTTGCAACTTAGGGTTAGCTGTTTTTTTTAGCTCGTACTTAGCTGGATGAAGTTTGCTGCTCTGGTTTTGGGGTAGTGTACCGAGTAGATACTCTGTGGTGGTTTTTGGTTTGTTTGCTTTGTTTTCCCAGGAATATCAGGCACTCCTTCTCCTGACAAGCCTTGCTTTGTTCAGAGCCTCAGACCAGGTTGCAGCGGCATGGTGCTGTCTTCAGGGCACAAATGTTTGTTATCCCTCATGAGGTGTCCCTTGCTCTCAGCACCCCTCACTCTGCTAGGTGCTCATGCTCCTGGAGACAGACGTCTGCTTATGGTACGTGTGAGCCTGGCCACTTCACCTGTTGGGCTGGGGAAAAACAGGCTTCTCAGGGCTGGTTCCTTGCCCAAAGGGAATGGATGAAAGACCCATGAAGGGCTGAATTTCCTGCATTAACACGGTGGGTGTAGATGCCACCTGCTTTGCTCATATGCCAACCCAACCCTTGTCTCTGTCATCAGATGGCACCCTCTGTCTTTTCCAGCCTATTCGATAGGAGTGGTTTGCTAGAAACCAGATGTAAAGCAGTTTCTTTCTTTTTTTTTTTTTTTTTTAACCACTTATGGAACAAGCGTAAACACTTGCTCCCCAGTGTGGTGTTTGGAGGAAGCTGGAGGAATGATGCTTGGTTGGAAGGCTTCATCTGTGGTGGGATTTCAGCTCCTGGTGTTAACCCCTACCAATCAACAGCACTGATGCTGCTTTGTGCTCCTTGACTGCAAGGATGAATGCTTCCCTGAGTACTGGAAGTAAGAATTAATTTCTTATACCTGATTTCTTATAATAAAGGTGACTTAATTTAACCCTTCTGACCCTGGCTGAGGAGCTAAAATGAACGGGGTGAGTAGGGAGGAAAGTCTTGAATGTGTTCCCAAACTGCGGGCAGTATGTTTTAATTGCTTAAACCATATATTTTTTTGATGAAGAGGAGTGGTAAAGGATTCCTGGAGTGCTGCTCAGGTCTATTTTCTTCCAATGCTTACAGAGATAATAAAATTCCAGCATGAAAATAGCTCCTCCTTGGGAGCTTGTGCTTTGATGTGAAGCCTGGAGCATCATGGCACTTATGAAAGAGGGGCCACACCATTGCTATCAGCAATGATTTAAAAGTAAATATCTTCATTTTAGCCAGGATTGTGAGTTTAGTTGGTTTAACTCTTCTTCCTGACTGCTTGTGGACGGAGTGCGATGACTTCTCAGGTTGAAGGGCCTGCAGATGGATGTCCTCCAGGCCTGAAGGTCCTCCGGGAAGGCCGTGAGGTGGGACCAGGGTGCCCAGCACGGCGGTGTGAGGGACACAGGTCCCTCAGAGCCCCCCGTGTCCAGCAGGACGCGGCGAGGCTGTGAATCTCACCACAGTTCTCGGTGGCTACAGGCATTCTGGTCCCGTGATCTCCACAAGATGTCAGTGTAGATTTATTGGATTAGATAGCAAATCCTTGTGCTGTTCCCCCGGCAGACTGAAGCCAAAACTTGTTTCAGAGCAGCACAATCGCGTTGATTGTGCTCGGGAATGCATCGCCCGTGGAGGAGTGAGGCGGCGTGTGCTGGCGTACCGGGAGAGGTGCGCGTGGCACCCCGAAATGAGAGTGGCGCTGTGCAAAAAAAAAAAGAGTAAAATTTTGGTAAAATCGAAGGTGCCCAGACTGCATCGGGCAATCTGAGCAGGGGAGGAGTCTTGCGGGTGTCACTTGAGCGATAAAGTGCTCAATTTTGTGTCTGAAGTAAAGCTGGAAGCCTGAACAAAAAGCAGCAGGGCCAGCCTGGGTGGAAGGAAGGCTCTGAGGGCAATGGGATCAAGGCGCTTGTGTGGGGAGGCTTAACTGTGTGGTAGCCAAACACCCCCTTGGTTTCCCTATGTACAGAAAGCCCCTTTACGATGACAGGGACAAGGTGGGACATTGCCAAGGGACTGGGCCCTGTCCTCCCTCACATCCCTTGTGGCCTTCGGGCTGCTCAAACCCAGCTGCCCGGCCGTGGGTGGCCCTGCTGCCGCCCGCCCCCGGGCCCGAAAGCAGCAGCGGCCAGGCGGCGATGATTCATTTACGGTCCCCGTCGCTGCACCCTGTCACCCATGAGGGAGGGGAGGCAGCGAGAGGTGACAGTATTTGTCAGCGATGGCAGAAATAGCCGCCTTTCGGATTTCGCTGGGGAAGTGGGGAGGCAGGGGGAGGGAGAGCAGCGCCGTTCCCAGGCCGGCCTTGCAGCTGGGGTGGAAAACCTGTGGTAAGAGCAGTGCCCCGTATTCCTCACGGGGTCCAGCTCCAATAGCTAGCAAAGTGTTAGCCCACCAAAATTTGCCCCCCCTGCTCCCCAGCACTTGTATGGAGCAGCTCAGCTAAAAATGGGGGTGCAAGCTCCCTCTCCCCTCTACACATTATCTACAAGTTCACCCTGTGGTATTTTGGGGAGATCAACCAAGATGTGCTTCTGGGATGGGGGATGCTCTGCAAAGCCCAGTGGTTCCCACCACTAACAGGTAA